AAAAAAAAAAAAAAAAAAAAAAATTCTGCTTCCAAAGTGTCTTAGTTTCTTAGCAGGGTGATTCCAAAGTTAGTACAGAAGATGAGAGATACAATTTTGCCCCCAAGCCCCATTCATTTATGTCTACGTGTGCACTGGCCATATCGTTGCTTACCCGTTGCTTACATCTACTGGAGTTAAGTGAATACAGAAAAGGCCAGGAGTGCCCAGTCATTTGGGCCACCCCCCTGCCTGCCCGGTTTCCCTAGTTCAGACTTACGTTTGTGGGCTTTCAGCTTCTTCTCGTCCACAGGAATGAGGTCCAGGTAGTCCAGGTAGTATTCATAGCTGTAGTACGGGGTGGAGGCGTTGGTCCCGTTGGCCATGTCTGCAGCACCGGGAAGCCGGTGTCCGGGCCAGAGGGCTCGCCTCCAGAGCCGGGCGCTGAGCCCCGTGGAGGAGATTGCCCAAGGGATTTCTGTATGAATGACTCATCCAGCGTGTCTGTGGGTCTCCAGGCTCAAGGCTTTCCCACTTATCAGAGCCGTTTTGCTGGAAGAAAGGTCAGGGGGTGTGCCTGACATCTTCAGCATACAAGCAGAGCCTCCCATCCTGCCCCTTCTTGATAAAACTCCAAAGCAAACAGAGCCGGGAGGCGGGAGAACGGGTTTCCAAGGCAGCTCCCGAATGCCCTCTGCATAAGGACAGAGAGCTGGGCAGGAACACAGACACCCGGGGCCTCTCGAAAGAGAAGATGCCCACAAGGGCTACAAAGGACAATCACTTTTTGCCTTAAATACTTGAAAAGTTAATAAAATCAAAATGAAAGCCCAACTTTCAAAACGAGTGCCCTTGACTTTGATTTAGGCAATTCTTGGTGCTAATGAGCAACTAGCAAACTACTCACTGACTTAGATTCAACATCTCAGGGCAGAAATTGACTGGCATTGGCTCTGAACTTGTAACCTCGTTCATGTTCTCAGAGACAATTAATTAAAACCAAAAGAGTCCCCTGCCCCAACTGTGTGCACCTCTCACCTTTTATCTAAGCCCCAAAGAACCAGCCAGTCGGCTGCATTTGTTCAGGCTGAAGAAGCTGTTTATCCAGACAAGAGCCGCCCGGCTCGAGCTCTTAGGAAACAGGGTCCACCCCGTGCTTGGCTGACACTGCGTGTGCTTGGCTGACACTGCATGTGACGAGGATTCTTCTGGGTTTCTGTAGGGACTGACTCCAAGTTACGCACTTGCTCTTCCAAGATCCTTAAACGCTATCAAGACAAACATTCTGAACACAGGCTTACGGGGGCTTTCCCTCCACTATCCCAACTTTCCTGCGTTCTTGATTCAGGTGGACACTGCCAGAGTAAAGCTGGTCGTCGACAGTGTAGACAAGTCAACCCAGATAACCCGAGCCCCTCTGCTGGTTTGGGTCAGGCCTGCCGTGTCTGAGGCATTCCTTGGGCAGCGCCTAGAGCCAGTTCCATTGATAAGAAGGGGAGGAATGAGCTCTTGGGTTTCCAAAGTGCAGAGGCAAAAGGTCCACGTGAGAAGTAAAAGAAAACTCCTGCTTCCTCTACCTCTACACTTCCAATACCAGATACCTGGGGTTTTTCCACATCAAAGCAATTTCCAGACACTAACAATTTCCAGACACCCCCACACACTAACTGGGGGTCCTACAATTTAACTCAATTCCATTTTTTGTTGTTTTATTTTTATTTTATTTTTTATTTTAATAGATTTAGGGGGTACAAGTTGAATTCTGTTACATGTAGATATTGTG